TTAGAAAGCGCCGAACAACCGGAGATGACATGCCTAAGTGACTCACCGGGATGGCGACAAGCTCGACAGATGTCGACGGCGCCATCCTTTAGGATGTATCTCCGATAATTGTTGGTCTTAATAACCTGATCCTGTATCGCACAGACAAAACCCTCGGTTTCCCCAAAGAGGTCACCGAAACGTAGCCAATGGAGGGAGGCGACTGTGTCTACGCAAGGCTCATGTAGAGCCTTGTAGAACCTCCCGTGGAGCTCCTTCTCCTTCCATACGGTCTCCCGGTCGGAAATGCTCTGTACTGCCGGGTCTTGCCATTGCTCGTTGGCTAAGGATAGAGGGGTAAGTCCTTTATCACAAGAAATAACGTCCCTATAGAATGGATCATCCGCTCTCGTCAGGAAGTAATTACGGAGGCTGCACACTTCGCGATTATGCATGGTAAGCGCGCTTAAAAAGCCGCGCCCACCATGCTTCCGCGGCAAGTACAGCCTCATTACTGACGATCTCGGATGATGCATCCTGTGGGACGTCATTATAGTGCGGACTTTTCTGTCCAGAGCGTTCAGTTCGGTCTGAGTCCACCTGAGCATGCCAAAGGTATACATGAGAACAGGCATGATCCAACCGTTATATGCATGTGTCTTATTAACGCCCGACAAAAGACTGTTGAGCACTTTTGTCAAGCGTGCATAAAACACACCGCAAACTGACCGTTTCATGTCCGCCTCATCGATACCTATGTTCTGTGACATACCCAGGTATCGGTATGTTTCAGCCTCGGATAGGGTCTTTATGTTAATGGGCATAGATAAGTCTATGCCCTCAGAGTTAGCAACCCTACCCCTTTCGACATGGAGGATCGCACACTTATCCGTCCCCAGCTCCATTCTAATAGAATTGCTAAAATCACAAGTGATGTTTAGCAATTCCATAAGATGAGAGCGACTGGAGGCGAATAACTTGAGATCATCCATATAGAAAAGGTGGGTCACTTTTGTACCTCCTCTCCGAAGCTGAAATCCCCTCCCGGAACCCTCCAGTAAGGTACTAAGAGGGTTCAGAGAGAGGCAGAACCAGATTGGACTCAGACAATCGCCCTGGAAGATACCCCTTCTTATCCTTATGTGGTTCTCCGCAGCCGTCATCCGCTCGCCTAGATGACAAAGGATCGTACTCCACTGCCCCATACACTGCCCGAGGAAGTCTCGAACTGTACAGTCAACCTTGTACAGCTCGAGGACCCTCTTCAGCCATGTATGAGGCACCGAGTCGAATGCCTTTTTGTAGTCTATCCAGGCGGCGGAGAGGTTCCGACGGTTGCGTTTAACCACCTTGCCAATGACCGCGTCAATGAGGAGTGGTTCCTTGGTTCCACGACCGCCGCCCCGACATCCATTTTGAGCGCGCGACATCACCTGATTTGAGTTCAGGTGACGAGTGATTCTCGCGCTCAAAATGGATGTCAGTGTCTTGTATATGGTAGGTAGACACGTTATGGGGCGGTATTTGCTCGGGTCTGTGGAATCTCGGTCTTTAGGAACCAGATGAGTGATCCCAGTAGTGAAGAGGCTCGGGAGCGACTTTTGGTCGAGAGCCTCTTGAAACTGTCGGGCGAGAACAGCGTGACACACCACGAACCCCTTCAGCCAGTAGTGATGCAGTCCGTCGAGTCCCGGACTTTTCCAGTTCGGGGCCCTACGGACCGCCTCAGCTACGTCATCCGGCGTAATGATGACGGGGTCCATGGGCGTAACATTCGCACACTGACTCGCCACAACTTCCGTCCAAGGGCCCTCACTGTGGTTTACGGGCTCTGACCACAGGCCGCGCCAGAATGCGATAGTGTCGGCCTGATTCGGTGCTGGGCCCGTTCCACGTACCATTGGTCGCTCCAATGATTCATAGAGCCTCTTCTGATCACTCTGGAAGAGACGATTCTGGTTGAACCGTGTTGACCTCTCGGTATATCGCCGAATCCGCTTCCCCCAAGCAGCGATTCTCTGCTTCAGGTCGTCTATGCGCTCCGTCAGTTTTTGCGTTATATCCGGCTGGGACAAACTGATGTTTGTCCCAGCAAACGCCATCCTGACGGTGCGCACAATTCTCGGCCTATTATTGCCCGACCTGAAGCTTATCAGCCTGCCGATGAGGGCCCTTGCCTTTGCGATACGGTCCTCAATTCTTCTTCTCCAGGCTGGGATGGCGCTACTTTGTCTAGTAGCGCGTCCAGCCTTGGGAAGCTTGGCGCCAATAATACGGCAAACTGCCAGTGCGGCGCCAAAAAGAATTGAGTCCGTCTCGCAAAGGTCCCGGCTGGCTTCCAAATAGGTCACCAGCATTGGGTTGAGAGCCCTCACGACAGCCCGATTCCGCTTGCTTAGGGGTATACGGGGAAGTCGCGGTCGATTCTCGAGAGGCATACTGCGCGTTTCCCTAATCGCCTCTTCCACTATGCTCCTCATTTGCTATAGTTCTGGGGCGACTATTCCATCGTCGCCTGAGTCAACTACAAGGAGATCAACGGCGGCATCTACATGTGCGGGTTGCTCTGCAACTCGTAGAGCCGCATCTCCTGTCGTAGCATTTTCATTCGACAAAGGAATAGCCTCACGTCGTAGCCGTTCGAGTTCGGCGTCATCAAATATTTTTGAGCGCATGATGTACCGAACTCGGTCTGCCAGATTTTGCTCGGTAACGGTAATAGATGGCTCCAGCTCAGCAAATAGTCGGTGCATCCTAGCCCGATACCCAAAACCTCCAATTTCTCTCCCTTTCGCCCCAAAATACGCCCGCAATGCATTTTTATTCATTTGCATTGACCAACGCATGCGGCGTACTCCACCAGTGGCGGGTGCTGATTGCTGGGCCAACGAAGACCCTGCCAACACCAAGCCAGCTGGTGGGGATGATGGATGCGAGGGGCTGCTGGGTGATCGTGCAGCACCTCGCGGTCGACTGGCGGTTCGCATGCTGCCGCGTCCAGCGCCAGCTCCAGACGCGCCCTGGCGACCTCCAGGCAGCGGCCCTTTGCGCGTATTTCTTAGTTCCATCATCCATTACTTGGGCGTCAGTTAACGGGAGACGCCCAGACCCGGCACCGTTTCATGGTGAGGCCATGTGCACAATCGGGCCTTTGCACCTCCAATTTTGCCGAGGCACGGCGCTAACACCTCTTGGCAAGGTGCTGACTGACTGCGCTGACGTAGCAGTTTTGTCACATAACCGTTACGTCAGCGGGCGATGGGGTCGTCACTTCCCTACGCCTTATTATTATTATTATTATTATTATTATCCTAATCTCGCTCAGACTGACATCCGGGATATCATCGGAATAGTGTCGGATGAGACTCGCTCTTGGATCGTTACTCACACTTGCGTGTGACTCCAACGATGATGTGTACAGCTGCCCATAGAACCTCTCAATCTCACTCAAAATCTCAGGTGTCCCGGAAACGATGCTGCCACATTTTGTCTTCAGCTTTGACAGTTGGCTCTTTCTGGCAGACAGATCTCTGGCAAAGACTTTGGAGCCTTGGTTCCGCTCGATCGCTTCTTCAATACGAGCTGTATTGAAGTTGCGTAAGTCCCGCCGCATGCATTTGGAGATCTGTCTGTTCAGATGCCTGTATGCTGTCAAGTCTGTTGAAGAATGTAGCTTCATCTCCCGTCTAACAGCCATGAGATTAAGAGTGTGATCGGAGAGTTTTTGTGTTCTTCTGCGGCGGGTCTTGCAGAACTTAGCTCCGACCGCATGGACAGTTTCCACGAGCTTGTCATTCATATCGTCCACTTCATTGCTGTCTTCCAGGCACTGAAAACGGTTTTGTGACTCGAGCTGAAAGGTTTCGGGACTTTGGAACAGAGCACGAGGGGGACGGAGCGTTGACTTCATTAGACGAGACCTCTCCAACTTAATGTTTAGGTTCAGTGTGCCTCTAACCATTCGGTGATCGCTACCAGTTTTCACCCTCGCGATCACGGAGACATCACTGAACAGTTGTCGTCTGGTCGTCATAATGAAGTCAATCTCATTTTTTGTGGAACCGTCGGGGCTCGACCAGGTCCACTTCCTGTGGGGCCGCTTCTGGAAGAAAGAGTTCATCATAAAGAGTCCCTCTTTCTCCATGAAGTCGGCCAGCTGCTAGCCCCTTGGGTTCCGTTGCCCTATTCCGAATTTCCCTACTTTCAGCTCACCGTTCTCTCTTGTGCCTAGTTTTGCATTGAAGTCTCCCATTAACACCGTATATTGGGTTTTGGAGGAATGCATGGCATATCCTCATACATTTCCTACACCTCCTCATCGGGGTGTGCCGAGGTTGGTGCGTAAACCTGTATGACCTTCAGCGAATACCGTTTGGTGATTCTGAGTATAAGGTACGCAACCCTCGTCGACACACTCCCGATCTTTACAACGTTGTTAACAAGAGACTTGTGGACGATAAATCCGACACCTCCTTGGGACAGATGGTCGCCCTCCCGGTGATAGACCAAGTTGCCGGATTGGAGGATTACCGTGTCCTCCCCCTCTCTTCGGACTTCGGATAATCCTATAATATGCCAGCGCAACTTGTCTATCTCTTCTTCCAGCTCCACGATCTTCTCGTCAATCCTCAGGGTGCGTGCGTTGTACGTTGCCAGGTCGAGTCGTCTAAGGTGGCAACCGAACCTCCACCGGAGATTCTTAGCACCCCCTGCCCCGCCGTTACCATGGTCGCCACCGTAGCCAGGAATAGCGGGTCCGCCGGGGACTGGGGGCCGTTTCTTTGTTACTGTCATTCATAGGGGGGTATTTGCCATAGTTGCCACGCTTGGCGAGCGGGTTGGCAACCGCAGTTTTTTTATTGTAATTTGGCTATTATCAGGAAGGTGCTGCTGCCCATCTCCTGCCTGTTTCCCTTTGTCGCCTTTTACGACACCCACGGGAAGATATGGGGTAGTGGATATTCTTGACCGCCACTACACGGCACATTACCTATGTTGTTAAATTAATAAGCTTCATTTAGATGGCGACAAACAAGAAACAGCAACAAAAGCAGCAGCTGAGCATGGCAGCTAGTGCGATAGCTCTTCGCGGGGTTCATTTGTTCCTGAGCGCCGGACGGGCCGCCGCCGAAAGACGGGCTGCCACTGCCATACATGCTCCCGCACCTAGGAAACCTCGTCTCAAGCCAGTACTGCCCACACACAAACTGCAGCAAAAAACAGTAGAACTGCTGCTAAAGACTACTAAATTTAACAAGTGAGTTAATTTACATTCTTCATTTTTGATAGCTCGTAAAATTCCAGGGGCAGGCTGGATATGGGATCCACCTGTTCAAGGGGAAATTTTACGCTCAGCAGGCGAATTGACGATCGCATTACCCAACATCTTGCCGTGACCGCGTGAGAATTTTTCATAAACATTTTCTCTCTAGTCTATTAATCTTGGAACTTTTCTAAGTAAAACAGAATAATGGACGGTGTTGACATCGGCTAAAATCTCTGCGGTCGCCGTTTCGTCAAGGTCGTTCAGGCTTCTTTAAGCCTTAGGTAATCAAATAATGAAATAAAAGTATCGTACTTGATTGTCGTCGTTATTAACAGTGTGCTGCTGGAATATTCATATACAAATACTAGAAAGCCGTAGTAGCTTAGAGGTTAAGCACACGTCCTAAATAACGCAGTACGCGAACAACGCGGGTTCGATCCTCGTCGGGACCAAAGAAATGATTAATTGCAATTTTATATGCTCATTTATCACATGCTCGACGATGAAGAAAAAGGTTGATTGCATGTTGGAAAAATTATAAAAAAAAAATTGAAGACATTTAAGCACGCTAGCACGCATTGGGTTGCACCACGGACAGTACGTTTCCCTGTAACTCTCTTAAAAATGAGAGTACTGCGCCCAGGACGCATATAGTCTGTAATTTCACTTTTCACTTTTATGCCTTTATGTAAGGATCACTAAAAAACTCAACAAATATATATTTTCGTAATAGTTATAATTTATTAGCTTAATTGCTTATTCACATTCGTAATTAACTTCCCAATTCTTCAGATGATTACTCCTAACAAGTTTTTGCACTACAATATATATTATATATTATTTATTATGGAAATTAAATATTATATCGTATTGAAGAATTGTTAGAGTTAACTGTTCCGCGTTCAACTATTCAATAAATTATGCGCTACTAAGTTCCATTGGTTGTATCTACTTTATCGGCCGCTGTGTTTACACCGCCCTTCAGCTCAACAGTTACATGTGAAATTACCATTGGGGTAGACGCGTTACTCTATATACAAACTTAAAAGAAATGCCACACAGAAAGCTGAAGGAAAAAACTCTAGAAACGCTGCATAAAAGTACACACTTCAGCAAGTGAGTTTGAAATGTACCTATAAAATGTTTTGTTACGCGGTAAACGTGTAATAATTTAAAAATATTGAATATAAAATTTATTTATTTATTCTGTCTTACAAATCTTAATCTTAATCTTATCTTAATTCATTTGTTGTTATTTAATAAATTAAAAATTTAGTATACGTGTATATCGTAAGTTGCCCGTTACTGGTTGTTTTTAATAATTCTTTATCTAATTTAATTGATTTTAAAATAACATTTTTTTAATGTTCGTATATTATTGTTTTTTATGTCCTCAGTATTAATTTCTGTGCTTATACTCAATAACAATTAATTAATTAGCAATTTGAAGCGTAGTTCAATGATACAATAAGCGTTTTTGGCGTAGGCACATAATTGTATATTATTATTATCGTAGGCGCGTAGCGCTACGCTTCGTAGATGCAGATCCTTGTCACTACGAGATACATAAAGATAATTTAAATGTTTATACATTCTCTATAACTGGTATTAACTCAAGATTGTTAGTGATGAAAGAAAATTATTAATTAAAAGTTTAAAAAATAAGATCTCCTTAACGAAGAATTACCTTAAATTGTACCATAAAGTTGATTATTTTACTTTTTATATAACTTAGATTTCTTTTTATAAATGTGAGGCACAAAGTGTAAAGTGTCTTCATTTCATTTCATTCAGTACTTGAACATTTAATATTGTTTTAGTAAATCTGTTTACGCATTTGACCTTTGCAAACCGTTTTGAAGCAAGAGTTTCGTTGACTTTTAAATAAATTTTTACGATCGATTTTTCAAGCATCATATTATAAAAGTTATTCAAAGAATAAAATACTACATAAAGGATATAAAAATTATATTTTTATGAACACAATAGTTAAATCTTTTCTCTTTTATATTCAGTCAGATTATATATTATAATTTATCAGTGTTTAAACTTTTATTTACCGATTGAAAGTTCGGCCCTTAACAGAATAAGGGCGATAAACGAGCACACAGTGCACCTGATGGTAAGTGGATGCTGTGGCTGATAGACATCTACATATACCATCGATTGATAATCAAAATTTAGCAATTATATATAGCTACAACCTGCGTTTACCACATAAACGTTACACAGAAGTGTGCGCACTGTAGGACACACCAAGAGTAGTTCCTTATATTTTGTTTTCAGAAATGAACTGGAGGCTCTATACGTGATGTACAGAAAGATAGTTAATAGCGCTCAGACAACAATTTCGTCATCCGCTATCGGTCAACCGCCTGCTAAATTTGACGTAAGCTGTTTCTTTTTAATTTAATTTTTATAAAAATGTAATCATTACGATAAAGTAGTAAATAGTAACTATTATACTAACAACCTGATAAGGGTGAATGACTCATTTTCAGCGTTTGAAGGTAACGAAAGTGGGGGTCGTCGGGGGCGAAACAGAGAAACTAAACAGGACATATGCAGCAGCGTCTTCCTAACAAAATCTAGAAAATAAAAACTGCGGTTGCCGATCTGCTACCAAACGTGGTAACAATGGCAAATATCCGTACATGACGGAAATCTATGGGTAAGGCCTATGTTCAGCAGTGGACGTTTGATAGGCTGTAATGATGATGATAATGATGATATTGTTTCTCCTTCTTTATCAGCGCGTAGAAGTCCAGCACCGCTCATGGGCCTCTCCCGATGTACATAGGATTTTCCTTAACCGTGACACTTGCTGACGGATTGACGTTTGCATGAACAGACGCACCTTGGTTGCTGCTCCCCGTCGCCGTTCTGGATATTTTATATGGCGTGAACGAGGCAGGGTGATCTATGGGGGAGGCTTACTTTTAACAGTGGACTTTTGATGGGACGTAATGTATGAAATAATGAAATCAGACACATGACACCCCAAATATCAGAATATTACTAATAAAATAATTTAAAATTTAAAATTTTGTACAACCGACTTCAATATATCGACTATAAATTAGTAAGAATAACTCAAAAACCACTGATCAGACCTTGATGAAGCACCAGCTTTCAAATAAAAAAAGAATCATCGAAATTGGTTCACCCAAAAAAAAGTTATGAGGTAACACATATAAAAAAAACATACAGTCGAATTGAGTACCGTCTTCTTTTTGAAGTCTGTAGAAAATAAACAATAATTTCTCATGGCTCTCTCTACTCCTGGCTTCTATGATAAATTAAATAAAAATGTTTTGTTTGTCATAAACCACGACTTATGTGGTTAACATGATGCGTGCGCACGTAAGTAAGCGACGCTCGGGAAATGGATCCCATTCAAATTGTCGTAGATTGATCTTGAATACAGTTCTACTGACGTGACCTTTGGTAATTGTTTATTGCAGCAACTACTTTGAAGTATAAATGAGTTTATTGACTATATTGTGTATTGAACGTTTGAAGTTACAAAAAAGGGTTATATACGCGACCTTTACTGGTAGAAGAGTGTTTTTTCTTTTCACCCAATGTAGCGTGCCTTAGATGGGCCCTGTATCAAAATTTGTTTTGGGGCCCCAATGAACAGTAAAGATTTCATAAAAGGAACAAAACAAGCGTTTTTGCTTTGAATTAAAATTATTATATATTATTGATTATTCGTTATTCATTATCATTACAAGTTCACTGCTGAACATAGGCCTCCCCCAAAGAATGCCACAAAGCACGGTCCTGAGCCACCTGGATCCATCGACTTCCTGCATATCTTACCAGGTCGTCATTCCATCTAGTGGGGGACACACCCTACACTTCGTCCGCTGGTACGAGGCCGCCACTCGAGAACCTATTTTCCCCATCGGTTGTCGGTTCTTCGAGCTATACGGCCGGCCCATTGCCACTTCAACTTACTAACCCATTGGGCTATGTCGGACACTCTGGTTCTACTGCGGATATCCTCATTTCTAAGTTTATCACGCAGAGAAACTCCGAGCATAGCCCTCTCCGTAGCTTGCTGAGCGACCTTGAGCTTACTCATCCGGCCAGCAGTGAAGGACCGCATCTCAGTTCCATAGGTAATCACTGGCAACACGCACTGGTTGTACAGTTTCGTTTTCAAGTTTTGACGTATACCTGACGAGAATATGTGCCGTAATTTCCCGAACGCTGCCCAACCGAGTTGAATCCGTCGATTGACCTCTCGGTCGAAGTTCGACTTACCTAGTCGGACTATTTGTCCCAGGTAAACATACTCGTCAACAACTTCGAGCTTAGTGTTCCCAACAACTACCGGCTTAGGTGTGACATGGACATTAAACATGATCTTTGTTTTGTCCATGTTCATCTTAAGACCTATCTGCTGGGAAACACTATTGAGGTCATTGAGCATAGTGCTTAGGTCCTCCAGCGATTCTGCCATAAGGACTATATCGTCGGCAAATCGAAGGTGAGTGATGTACTCGCCATTGATGTTGATACCGTATCCTTTCCAGTCCAGAAACTTGAAAACATCTTCCAATGCAGCGGTAAAGAGTTTCGGGGATATGACGTCACCCTGTCTTACACCTCTCTGCAATTGGATAGGTTTCGTACTCTGGTTCTGTACTCGGATAGCCATCGTAGCCCTACTGTACAAGCACTTCAACACTTCGATATACCGACAGTCAACTTGGCACCGCTGAAGGGACTGCAGCACCGCCCAAATTTCGACGGAATCAAAGGCTTTCTCATAGTCCACATACGCCAGACATAGTGGCAAATTGTACTCCTCGGACTTCTGTACAATTTGCCGAAGGGTATGTAGTCTATGGTGCTAAAGCCTTTTCGGAAACCGGCTTGTTCGGGAGGCTGGAAGTCATCAAGTCTGCGCGCGAGACGATTCGTAATGACTCTCGAAAACAGCACGTTCAACAGGCTCAGAAGGGAAATCGGTCTGTAGTTCTTCAAGAGAGCGTTGTCGCCTTTCTTGAAGAACAAGACCACCGCACTTCTGCTCCACGCCTCCGGTGTAATGCCACCATGGAGGACGGAATTAAAGAGCTTCTGAAGGACTTCAAGTACCGGTTTTCCACCCGCTTTCAGAAGCTCCGCTGTAATTCCATCCTCGCCTGGGGCCTTGCCGTTTTTAAGGTGCTGGAGAGCCATTCTAATCTCGCTCAGACTGACGTCCGAGATATCATCGGAATAGTGTCGGATAAGACTCGCTCTTGGATCGTTACTCATACTTGCGTGTGGCTCTAACGATGATGTATACAGCTGCCCATAGAACCTCTCAATCTCACTCAGATGTCTCGGAAACGACGCTGCCACACTCGGTCTTCAGCTTCGACAGTCGGGTCTTTCTGGCAGACAGATCTCTAGCAAATACTTTGGAGCCTTGGTTCCACTCGATTGCTTCTTCAATACGAGCAGTATTAAAGTTGCGTAAGTCCCGCCGCATGCATTTGGAGATCTGTCTGTTCAGTTGCCTGTATGCTGTCAAATCTACTGTAGACTGCAGCTTCATATCCCGTCTAACAGCCATGAGATTAAGAGTGTGATCGGAGAGTTTTTGTGTTCTTCTGCGGCGGGTCTTGCAAAACTTAGCTCCAACCGCATGGACAGTTTCATTCATATCTTCCACTGCATTGCAATCTTCTAGGCACTGAAAACGGTTTCGTAGCTCGAGCTGAAAAGTTTCGGGACTTTGGATTAGAGCACGAGGGGTACGGAGCGTTGACTTCATTAGACGAGACCTCTCCAACTTAACGTTTAGGTTCAGTGTGCCTCTCACCATTCGGTGATCGCTGCCGGTTTTCACCCTCGCGATCACTGAAACATCACTGAACAGTTGTCGTCTGGTCGTCATAATGAAGTCAGAATGAAATCTCATTTTTTGTCGAACCGTCGGAGCTCTACCAGGTCCACTTCCTGTGGGGCCGCTTCTGGAAGAAAGAGTTCATCATAAAGAGTCCCTCTTTCTCCATGAAGTCAGCCAGCTGCTGGCTCCTTGGGTTCCGTTGCCCTATTCCGAATTTCCCTACTTTCAGCTCACCGTTTTCTCGTGTACCTAGTTTTGCGTTGAAGTCTCCCATTAACACCGTATAGTGGGTTTTGGAGGAATGCATGGCTCTAGAGATATCCTTATACATTTCCTCCACCTCCTCATCGGGGTGTGCCGAAGTTGGTGCGTAAACCTGTATAACCTTCAGCTAATACCGTTTGGTGATTCTGAATATAAGGTACGCAACCCTCGTCGACACACTCCCAATCTTTACAACGTTGTTAACGAGAGACTTGTGGACGATAAATCCGACACCTCCTTGGGAGCTTGGGACAGATGGTCGCCCTCCCGGTGATAGAACAAGTTGCTGGATTCGAGGATTACCGTGTCCTCCCCTCTCTTCGGACCTCGGATAATCATATGATATTTCAGCGCAACTTGTTTATCTCTTCTTCCAGCTCCAGAATCTTCTCGTCAGTCCTCAGGGTGCGTGCGTTATAAGGTGCCAGGTCGAGTCGTCGTAGGTGGCAAACGAACCTCCACCGGAGATTCTTAGCACCCCCTGCCCCGCCGTTACCATGGTCGCCACCGTAGCCAGGAATAGCGGGGCCGTCTTTTCGTTACTTTCATGGGGGGGTATATTGTCATAGTTGCCACGCTTGGCGAGTGGGTTGGCAACCGCAGTTTTTTTATTGGTTTATTGCTGTTATCAGAAAGATGCTGCTGCCCATCCTCTGCCTCAGTTTTCCTCTGTCGCCTCTAACGACACCCACGGGAAGATATGGGGTAGTGACTATTCTTACCCGCCACTACACGGGGATTATTACACGGGGATATTCGTTTTTACTTACAATTAATTCTCCTAGGAACTAATCTAGCCAAACAATTAAAATCAAATATACACTTTTCTTGCCTTTTGTTCAGCGAACATAGCTGAAGACGATTCGGTGGCATTCATAGCTGAAGCCGATTTCAGTTTTTCTAAATTCTTTGCTTCTATAGACGATAGTGATAGCCTTTCCGGTCCCATAGAAGTCCTTCAAATTTTTGTTTACACACGTTCGGGGCCCCTGCATCTCTGGGGCCCCGCTATTCCTGGCTACGGTGGTGACCATGGTAACAGTGGTAGAGCCAGAGCTTTTGCTGTCGCACGGATGGGCCGGCTCGAACCGGGGTGGTACTACGACCTCACAGAATACCAGCGTGAAGTAGAGGTTTACCTCTGCGTTTCGTTTGGTGAGTGCAGGTGGCCGGAGGCCCCTTTTTACTGGAAATGAGGCATTCCATCTTAGCCCTCACGGGTGACAACGCATCTGCATTTTGTTTTGTAAACGAGGATAGATGTAGATGTCTATGGAGATATCATTACGGTTCATCTAAATCCACTGCAGAACAGTGGATTTAGATGGACCGTAATGAATGAGTTTGAATTTTAAACTAACTCCAAAAAGGAGGAGATACATTTTTATTTAATGTATGATTTTTAAGCATGTTTACCGATTTCTTGGAAAGTTATATGGTTATACCTCAAGGGTGGTCCCACTTAAATTTGAAGAAAATATTCTACTTCTAATGATGGGAAAATAATTTGGACGTCATTCTACTTGCCACTATGAGTTTAAAAACTAAAAAGAATAAAATTACTTTCATTTCTTTTATAGAATAAGAGTGACAAACGAGCACACAGTCCATCTGATGGTAAGTGGATGCTGTGAATCATAGACATCTACATATATCCTTGATTAATTATCGAAATTCAGATGCGTTGTCACCCCTGAAGACTAAGATGGAATGCCTCGTTTCCATTAAAAAGGGTCTCCTGTTCTCTACACTCACCATACGTAACATAGCAGCATTAAGCTGCTATTTTACACTGGTGTTCCGTGAAAGCGTAGTCCCACCACGGTCGAGCTGACTTATTCATGCTAACCATAAATAGCTGCAGCATGGCTCTATCACGTAAATTTTAATTTCATATACCTAACTTCTGAACTGACTTCAGAGGCTGTTATGTTAAAATCATTTTATTCTTTTTAGTTTTGAAGTCGGTTTTCCGATTATAATTTCACAACTTCCTGATTTAAATTAAAATCATCATCACCATTACAGTCAATCACAAGTCTTCTTAACATAGACCTCTATAGAGATTGAAAAAGTCACCTGTTGGCAAATACCTTTTTTCAGCTCCGGGTGGGTTGTTATATCTGATGTATTTATTGATCATGCCACAAGCCTAAGACACTTCATGTCACGAGGCTCCACATTTTTCCAACTTTCTAAATTACGTATAAACGTATTTTTTCTCAAGCTACCTGTGTCTCTTTCATCGACGTTAAAATATATTACACCCCATATCACCATGCCGTGCGGTAAACGTTAAACTTTAACCTAACCACGGCTACCTCCAGATTAAAATTATGATTTTTGTTCCGATCTACGCAGTTTGAACTTATACGAGTAGTATCTTGGAGTCTTGCAGTTGTATACTTGAGTTGGGAATTAATTTTATTAACCTCTGTAAAGTGCTCGTAACTTCGGGAATATAATATAAGTTAAAATACGCGAAAAAATCCGTAAAATATATTTATATATTTAAACAATATATCGAATTATAATCTAATCTATTTCCAATATTCAACTTTGCTCTATATCTATATTTCTAATACTATATATGTATATATTTATGTACTCTTTACGAAATCATTTTTTTATAGGATAACGGATACTCACCATACGAAAAACAGCAGCGTTAAGCTGCTATTCTATGAGAGCGTGGTCCTTCCCCGGTCAAGCCGACCTATTCGTGCTGCAACTATACTAGTAGTACAGCTGCATCATAGCTCTACCACGTAAAATAAATCGTGATATTATGCCTTTGACAGGGTATAGATCTATGCACATTCCGAGATTTAATGCACAACACGTTCGATCTGGTCACGGAGGAAATGGTCCTGGAGAGGGTTTGGGCGACTTGGGAAAGGGGAGCCGGTGGTGGAGAGGGGGCGATCAAGTTCGAAGCGTGGGCTCGTGGACTCAGCAAGTTGTTGAGAGGAACGGATGAGGAGAGACAGATACATTGCTTCTCTGTGTATGATCTGAATGCCGACGGCTTCATCACTAGGGACGAAATGTTTTTGCTCTTGAAGTGAGTAGATTCTCTGGAATTTTTGCTTGTCTTACGCTTATTTTACGGTTTTAGATTTTGTTTAATTTTGAATAACATTTGTTTTAGAATAAAAAAAATGTACAACCGACTTCAATATAAGTTCTTTAGGATAACTCAAAAACTACTGGTAATGAGAAATGTAACATTTAATAATAAGGATAGTGTTCGAATCCATACGGACAAATCAAATTGGATACACAGTGTTGCCGTGGCACGAAATGACTCCATCATCGTCAACATCCGTTGTATAACGTTTAAAGTCATAATTATTTACAGGAATTCCCTTTTAAAGCAGCCAGGCGATGAAGACCCTGATGAGGGTGTGCGAGATCTGGTGGAGTTAGTATTGAAGAAACTTGATGTGGACAATGATGGGAAAGTGTCTCTGGATGATTATAGGTTAGTAAAACGATAAATTGGCGGCTATTCTTTGGTTTATTATTAAGGACTTGTTTCTTTTAGTCTATTGAAGATCTTAAAAATTAATAAGCTGAGATATGCGTAATAAAATAGAATGATGTCTTGTTTTGTCTTGCATCGATATATATGTACTACGTACTAGATTGCACATTCCGAACATACACTATGTTCAACTGAACGGTACTGCAATTCATACAGTGTGTAATTTAGTGTGGTTTCAATCTACTAGTTAGTCTGTGATTTTAATATTCATGCAGTGTGGAGCGTCGCTAATAATACAAGATTTCAAATTAAAGTTTAAATTAAAACTGACCGCGCAGACGCAACGCGCTTAAATCAGCTGCGTATGCGCGACTCTACTATCTCCCGCGCATGCGCGAAGACATAGAGTAGTGCACATTTTTTGTTTTGAATGGCTTCTCTAGTACGCAGTACATATAACTCAATGTTGTCTTGTTTCTTCAAACTAGGTAAGGCACATCATTTTATTTTCATATATAATGGTAATAATAAATAAAATAATAAATAAATAATCTTTAGTTTAGACTTTTTCATGTTAATGACGATGTTTGTTTTTGATCAGTTTTGTTGTTATAGTTGAAACTCTTCTCACTTCTTTTTCCCGTGCTATTTGAAACCTATCTTCTTTTTTTTAAATAAATTGTTTGGGAAATAATAGTCAACACAGTCACAGTTTCTTTTAGTCAAATAGACACATTAGATATTTGTTTTATTTTAAATTACAAGCTACTAATATAACTAGATAATTTGGATTCTATGATATTCAATTATGCTGTAATAATAGTTTACGAACCAATAATGACTAACTGCAATATCTGTTCCTGGGAAAGAATATTAATGATACCAGATTTACCGTTGGTAGGGAGTGAGCAGCGAAAATGTTTTTTTTTTATAGGATAGGGTGACAAACGAGCACACAGTCCACCTGATGGTAAGTGGTTGCTATAGCCCATAGACATCTACATCTATCCTCGTTTGCGAATCAAAATGCAGATGCGTTGTCAGCCGTGAGGACTAAGATGGAATGCCTGTTTTTTCAAGTAAAAAAGGTCTCCGGGTCTCTACACTCACCATACAAAACACAGCAGTGTTAAGCTGCTATTTTACTCTGGTATTCTGTGAGGGCGTGGTCCTTCCCCGGTCGAGCCGACCCATTCGTGCTACAACAAACTATATTACGAATATAGCTGCAGCATGGCTCTACGACGTATAAATTGTCTGACGTTACTAAGGTATTTTGATTAGATTTTTTTTTAAAGAAACTAGAACACTCTTAATAAGGAGAACAGAAAGAGTTAAGCTATGCAACCTTTGAAGAGACGTGTTAGGATATTGTGGAAATTCGGAAATTTCTAGAAGTTATAAGGTTATACATTTTCGGCAAACATTTTCACCATACACATAAGTATCGTCACCAAACCATTCTCAATCTATAAGAGAGTAGAAAGAGAGACGAAGTAGAAAACTTCCACAAGGTGTAAACAACCCTGAAATCTTAAGAGGCTTAGAACCTACTTAAAATCTACTCTCAGTACCAGATGTCTCGCACTATCGGTGATTATTCCCGTCACCTAATTTTACCTCTAGTATGAATATAACATAGGTATATCGCCATTAATCTGATACTAGGAACTTTATCTTTCCCTCCATTCTTTAAGTCGCCTCTTGTCACAAGATGAGGATAGAGATAAGGATTCTACCCACACAAGATGTATTTTTTTCTACAAATCTTATTTTAAGAAAATGTTAATATTACCTAGTTTTAAGAGCTAAATTAAACTCGGGCGAAGTAGCGGGGAATAGCTAGTTTAAAATATAATTGCAGTTCAATTATTTAGGTATCTGACATTCAAAGTTTACCTTTTAAGTCATCGTAAGTTGTTGAATGAATAGTTTGTTATATAAACTGTTTTATTCACCTCCTGCACCAATCCTATTCCCAAACCACTACTGCTCACTACTCCCAACATCACTACAATCCACGAAGTACACGCCACCGTCGATAATACGTTATCGATCGGATAATAACTAATTAAAATTTTTAACATCTTTACTATAATCGATTTTCGCGAAGTAACGCCCGATTCTATTCGAACTTTTTTTTAGACAGGCGGTAGAGCAAGAACCGTTGCTGCTGGAAGCCTTCGGCCAATGTCTACCTTCAAGACGACAAGCGCTTGCTTTTCTTAAGACTTTAACTAACAAATGAAATAAATTTTAGTAAATATTACGAGAAAAAATTATATTATATTACAACAATATATGAATAAATGTAAGATTTTAAAATATTTTTTTAGTAAGTAGCTACCTATCTAGTTTGTGAAGTTAATTAGATTTACTTCGTCTAGTATTGAGGGAATAAAATAAGATTTTATTTCCTCAATACTATGACATTATGACATCAACAAATTGAAAGTTGTAAATTAAACCTTTTTCAATCAACTGCTTCTTTTATTTAACGAAATTTCGACGAGTAAATATATAAATTAAAACTAGCACATGGTCAGTCTACCTTGGTCCATATCATAGTGGTCTACAGACAGCTACATTTTTATTCTTGACTAGCGATCCGCCCCGGTTTCGCGTCGGTGATTTCTGGATCTCCACAATAGTGCCACCTACCCGGTCCAATTCTGAATAGCGTAGATCATCGAGGGACTTATTCAAACTTACACAAAAAATTTCATCAAAATGGGTCCAGCCATTTTCTAGTTCTTACGGGACTAACTAGCAATTGATTTTTGTACAGGATTAAAAATCAAAAAGATGTTGTGTCGTCACCTCTGCAGACTAAAATTTGACTAAGATGGAATGTGTCGTTATTCGTTACTAATAAATTGGGTTTGCCCAAGTCGAAGAAAAGTGATGAGTGATGAACGCAAGAATGTCGTCTACACAAAAACGTGTAGGCGACGTTCTTCGAGGATTTTTTTCTGTATCGATTTTATACATTAATTCATTACAGATTATCAAAAGTTGAGCACTGAACATACTCGTACGTCTCCCCAATGCATTATACGACATATGGTGTAGTTATATATAAGGCAAAATATTATAAAAAATACAACGAGTCCTCAATTTCGGAGACATACCGATGAGCCTGCTCACTCCGAACGCTTATTGTGTGACTAATAATCATGCAGCACGGCTCTAGCGACAGTGTGGCCAATGCAACAGTGAAATGATGTGCTGATTAGGTGAACTATGTCTGTATGAGAATTTTGTCAATGACGTCATATTTTAATACTCTTCATAAGCCCACCACTGAACATAGGCTCCAAGGAATCGTATCCCGCCTACAAGGAATGGCACAAAGCACGGTCCTGAGCCACGATCAATCGGCTTCCTGCTTCCTGCATCTCCAACTTCAGCCCCACTAGAGGATCCCCCCATCGGTTTTCGGTTCTTCGAGCTATATGGCCAGCCCATTACCACTTCAGCTGATGTACTATAAAAATTAGTTGGACTATTTTGTTTACTCTGATTCTACTGCAGATATTCTTAAATTATAATTTACTGTTATAATATTGACGAAAGGTGAAGAAAAACCATTAAAACAAGTAAAATTGTTAATCAGATTTTTTAAAACAATTTCCGTGTAATATTATGCTATCGAAAACTTTAATTTAAATACCTCGGGGAAAGCATTGTTTACGTACTTTATCGACCCACGAGTACAGGATGAAACACACAGATGTAGGTCACCCCATAAATTTCCGATATGCTGAATAGATTCATATCATTACATGGAACAACGTCGTAGATAATCGCACTAAAATTTATTCGACTACAAATCGAACCGGAATACTTCTTTAGAAGTCAATACATTAGCTTTTACGAAGTATGTCAAGAACACGCAAGTAGATAAATCATTAAAAAAAATCTCGATTTTTTCATAAAACTGAAGATCCGGGTACAGACCAGCCTGAATCAACTACCAATACAGTAAAATACACAAACAATACCGGTCTTAACTAAGGAATATTAGCATCTTAAACTTCAAAGGTACCTCGTTTAGAACCAGCGCGGCATCAGAGGCGGTTGTACTAAGTAAATGGCGCAAGAATGATTTTCTGGCAGATGACTACATATTTGTACCATTCCCTGCAGAGACTCATCAGTGAGTCGTGTCTACGTGCGTATAAATTCTTAAAGAAACTGTATCCGCGACTTATCGTCGCCGGTGATGATTCCAGGGCTGGTTCTTTTCTCGCTCAAAGGCTAAGTGTAGCCATTCAGGGAGGAAACGCAGCCAGCGTTCTTGGCACTATATAGCAGAGTAGGACTATATCTCAATAAAATTGTTTAGATTTTGTTTTTGTATTATGATAATAAATATTATATATTTTTATGTTTTAAATGATCCTTAACTTCTACATAACATGGTTTGGAATTGCTAGCTACTGCTAGCAGTAGTAACTTCGGAGCTAAGAGCCGGCTGTAAATTTCATAGTACACGACCAGAGTTCGATCCTCGCCGGCACTACTAAAATTGCTATTTGCACTTAAAATTGCTTACCCCTCATGTGCTATACAATGGAGGAAAATATCGTGAGGAAACTGCATGTCTAAGATATGAAAATAAATATTGCACATGTGAAGTTTGCCGACACGCACTAGAAAAGCAAATGACGGTCGGACTGCTCCACAACTCGCACAAAAGTAAAAGGAAGCCTGTGGCGGATAGTAGGACGAGAGAGGACATGATACTTTATTTTTATGTTTAGTAGCATTTAAAAACTGTATGTAACGTTTATATTATTGTATTATATTATTCAATATATACAAATGAGGAATAATAAATAAGAAATAAATTTGACAGCACGGTGTTTCGTCCCCGTGCCTCTGAAAGCACGTCAAGCCGTTGGTTCCCCTATATATAATGTACTCTGTGCCGTTGGTTATCACTCTCCGATTGTGTCGTATTGCCGACGCATTCGACTATGAGAGTGAGAGAGTAGAGAACACCAGTGCTTACGCATACACTCGGACACTATAATCCTGTCCGTGCAGATGGTTGATTTTAGTTGAGACTAGCCACGGTGACTGAATTTCCATCTGCAGGACTTTATTTATTTAACCCACATTGCGTGGTACCACAGAATAACGTAGTACTATTGTACTACGCACAGAAGTTTCCTTATTTATTTCGTACACAACCTAGCTTCGTGACGAAATAGAGTTGTAGATACATTCGCGTAGCCACCAAGATGGTGTAATAATACATCATCTTGGTGGCTACACTAAGATACTAAGATACATCACCATCTTAGTGATGTATTATTATCACCATCACATACATAAATAAACTTTCACGCCAGTCACCCAGAGGGGTATGCTGACATTATGGACTCCCGTTTGGCACGATCATGACTCACCTCTCTCAACTCCTTCACATCCGTATTTTTACGCAATACATGCTTTTTGGTCAAAGGTACTCTTAACTTGGTCCATCATCAATTGGTCAACTTTCGTTGTTAGGTTAATTGTAACCTAAGATATCTTAGTAAAAGGAATAGATTTCATATTTTTAATACACAAACGCGGTTACGAACAGGCACACAATCTACCTGTAAGTAGATGCTGTCACCTATGTAGTCGCAGATGCGTAATGTGATGTCACTATGATGTATGGATTTATACATTATAATAAAATAAAAGATTATAATTAATAGTCATTAACGTTATTTATATTCAACAAATATCTGTTTGATAAATAAATATTATTTAATCGTCATGTGCTTCAACACCAGTGTCGAAAAAGTCGAGGAAAATTGCCGCCGCCGTGAGCGGCAACAAGCGATACCCAAACTGTAACAAATTAATTGACATGAAACATGAAATTGTAATGAGGTAGGTATCTTTTTCTTCTTCATCCGTTACCGTTACAGCATATAAAAGTCCACTGCTGAACATATGCCTCCCCAATAGATTGTCTCATGGGGAGATATTTGCCATAGTTGCCACGCTTGGAAAGCGAGTTGGCACACGCAGTTTTTATTTTTAGTCATTATTAGGAAGACCCTACAGACCATCTCCTGATTTGTTTCCCTCTGTCGGCTCTTACGACACCCACGGGATGATATGGGGTAGTGGATATTCTTCATCAGTCCGTTAAAATACACTGCTGGACATGGACACACATTGCAGGGAGGATTTACCTAAATCGTCACGCTTGCTGGATGCATTAGCTTACCGTCACTGATCTGGATATTTTATGCATAGCGTTAACAAGACACATACACTTACACACACTATGCAGTGGTGTAATCGTAATGGTATATACCGTAGAAATGCTCTAAGCGATCAGAAAAATATAAAATGTAAAAGAGAGCAAATGAACAAAACCGTTACGTAATCTAATGAAAAGGGGAAAAAGTGGGAAGGACAGAGGTAGTAAAGAAACGTATGTATGACGAGATGCATCTTGACGGGGCGTTCAGCGACGCTCTAACTGTGTCTAAAGAAAATTGAAAAAGTTCTGTGTGGTCGCGTTGTTTCGTTCCGGGTATAAAGGGCCAGTACATTTTTTTATAGAGTAAGAGTGACAAACGACACGCAATTCACCTGATGGTAAACAGTGGCCCATAAACGTTTACATTTGTACTCCATTATAATTTTAAATGCCTTATTAACATTAAGGACTAGAAGATGGAATGCCTCGTATCCAGTAAATAGGGTCTCCGGTTCTCTACACTCACCATACGAAACACAGCAGCATCGAGCTGCTAATTTGCGCTTCCTCAGAAACAACGCATCTGTACCTTTCTTTATTTGAAGTTGCCTGCAATTGTCCATGACTTGAAGTAGCCACTTACCATCAGGTTAACTGTGAGTTAGTTTGTCACAAAATTGCGTGTGTGTATGTTCATAAAAAATGTATGATCTGGTTTCAAAGGTGCACTGATATAACTATTTTAAAAATCAGATAACCTTTTTGTTACTTAGTACATATATAAGCAAATGGTTGACTACACCCACTTAGTTGTAGTGCAAACTATATATATATATATATGTGTAATAGTTAAAAAACATACTTAATAAAAAAATACTATAATACTTGTTTATTATAGTTTTTTTTTATAGGATAGAGTGACAAACGAGCACATAGTTCACCTGATAGTAAGTGGTTCCTGTGGCCCCTAGACATCTACATCTATCCTCGTTTGCGAATCAAAATGCAGATGCGTTGTCACCCGTGAGGACTAAGATGGAATGCCTCTTTTCCAGTAAAAAGGGTCTCCGGTTCTCTACACTCACCATACGAAACACAGCAGTGTTAAGCTGCTATTTTACGCTGGTATTCTGTGAGAGCGTGGTCCTTCCCCGGTCGAGCCGACTCATTCGTGCTACAACAATACTACTAATATAGCTGCAGCATGGCTCTACCACGTGTCTGTGAGTATTCTGTGATTCTATATATAACTTGAGATGCTTATGAAACAAATGTTTGTGTAACCATTATTTTGTAAGTACAGCTTAAGATTTTTGACAGTTGAGCAGTTATTTGATTAAAGAAACTTACTCGATTAGAGTAGTAAAGTCTAGTAGGAATAGTGATTTCCAGTAAATCCCTCAGAACGGCGTCTACAATGATGTCTGCGGCGTCACCAGCCTCGATAACTTTCATGAGGCTCTGGAAACGGATACGAGGCTTTTTGCAGAGACCCGTGTTGACGATGTACGGACAGATTGTCGTGAATTTGATCTGTAATTAAATTTTTCCTTGTAAATCTTTTGTAAGACATTTTTTTTCTGATAGAGATCATACTCGTAAATCGACGTTAAAAATAAAATTTAAGTGTCTGTTTGTAATATTATAATAACTGTGACTTTTTAAATTTTTTGGTCATGATCACCCTTTTGCCTTTTAATATAAATTTGTGGTCCGATCTACACAGAACTAGCTTACATTATTTTTAAGTCTTGTAGTGGTTTGCTTGGATTTGGATTTAATTATATTAATTATAGTACTCCAACCAGATGGTAGCACCCCTTCATCTTCTCTATTGAAATTAGGAGGTTATTTTTAATTTCAATAGGTAGCCGGGCTACCCATGACTTCGGCATGTCAAACATCCCCCGTGACCGTCGAAACGTCGGAAATAAAAATAAAAATTAAACGCGATAAAATTAGTAAAATTAGTTTCATTTAATAACTGTCTTCTATTAAACTTAAATTTAAATTATAATCTTTCGCGGACCATATTTAAGCTCTTGCGGACCATCTTGGTGATTCGAGGACCACTCGTTGGGAATCACTGATTTAGTGAGATAAGATTTTTAAGAATGTTTCAAGCATTTATAATATAATGCAACATAGAATATGTTGTTAATTAGGTCATTTTAAAGTGGTATTGTACATTAAATTATAATGCACAACTAATGCTTTAATATAAACTCGTAAAATAGAACTGATAAAAAGATTAAAATAACAGTTATACTGACACCACTGGTATCCCTGGGTTCGCTTCGCAGTTCAATGGCAAGTGATTCCATGATGCCCCGCACGGCGTACTTTGATCCACAGTAAGGCACCAGGTTTCGGAGTCCCATAAGACCGGCCATCGATGACATTGCCACGATGTGGCCGTGATTGCGCTCCACCATCGCTGGCAGGAAAGCTTGAATTAACTGAATGAAAATATTAAAATTTATTGATGTGGTTTTAGACAATTTTGAGCCATGCTGCAGTAATATTATAGTTGTACAGGAATGGGTCGGCTCGAAGTTAGGAAGGACCACGCTCTCACAAAATACCAGCATAAAATAGAAGTCTAATGCTACAGTGTTTAGTATGGCGAGTGTAGAGAACCGGAAACTCTTTTTACAGACACAAGCAATTCCACTTTAGTCTTCAGGGGTGAACACGTATCACATTTTAGTCTTCAGGGGTGAATCTGCATTTTGATTCTTAATTGAAGATAGTTGTAGATATATATCTATGGGCCACAGCATCCACTTACCATCAGGTGGATTGTGTGCTCGTTTTTCACCCTTATTCTCTTAAAAACATCTATAAAAAAACCCAGAGGCAGCCATAAGGACTGTCAACAGAAGTGAAAACTGAATGATATATGAGTATACAAGCACACAGAGCGCTATGCATGTCTACTACGCGTCGCTAGTCTGGCTTGTGCCAGACTAGCGACACGTAGTAGACATGCTCGTAACGTGCATGAGCATGTCGAGGTCATCGGTGACCCGAACCCATAAGTTTTTGCCCTACCAAAAATCGCTCAACGCGGCTAAAGAAGTTTTCACGTCAAAAAATGATAATATTTATTAAGTACAATATATAACAAAATTATTAGGTACGTGAGCATCTCCAGTTATAGGGAGAATTTTTGTCGATCGTATTTTCACATCAAATATCTTTGACGCTCCTCGCCTCAGCTCTAGATATTTTTCCTCAGGCGTAAAGGTAATTTCGTGTAGTTTCGATGTAAGAATATTCACTACCCCATATCGTCTCGAGGGAGTCGTAACAGGCGACAGAAGAAACAAACCAGGAGATGGCCAGCAGCGTTTTCCTTATAACAATTAAAAAATAAAAACTGCGGATGCCAAACTACCTGCCAATCATGGCAACTACCGCAAATATCCCGTCCCTATCCCTTTGAGGTAATCAGGAGACCTATATTCATCAGTGGACTTTTATAGAATTTAATGGTAATGGTAAACGGGTCGGATATATCGCTATATATAGATTCTAGGATTTTTCCAACATTTTCCATAGTAGCCTCCAAAGTCCAAAGTCGAAATGGGGTTTTAGGTTTTCTTACGCCGTCATCATAAGACAACGATGAAAATAATAATGACACATAATATTATTTCTATAAATTATTCTTATGCAATGCATTCAACTATGTTGATTAAATGAGCATGAAAACCGATACCACGCCCTCGTCCACTGCAGAACAATCGACCATAGATTGCCACATAAGAAGGATTTTTACGATATTTGCGACGCTTGGAAGGCGCATTGGCAATATCAGTTTTTTAATTTTAGCTGTGGCGACGCTGTCGTCGCGCCACAAGCGAAAATACATCGAAGCCTAAATCGCGCTATCAAAGTTTTGAAGTTAACGCGCTATATTATAATTAAGCCTATAGAATAGCCATTTCTACTTAGATAACTCATCTCAGAGTGTACACTAAATGAGTATAAAATCAGTAATAAATCATGAATCGACATCATCGTCATCCTGAGTCTGATTAAGCTGTAAAAGTTTCCAGGCTAATAGCATAAATATCAATGTAGACTTAGGCTTATCGCAATCAAAAGAGCAATGATATATGTTCTATGCGATTCGAATAAGAATAGGACTGACCTGACGCCATATTGTGACGTCATAGCTGTCAATTCAAATCAGATTGGATGAGCAAAGGAGATATTTTTTATTTTTTTTTTATTTACCAAAGAACAATGAACGTAGGAGTATTAATCTGAATCTAGCATTTTAATTTCGCCCATCTTTGCATCTCTGTTTGAGTAGTTATCATTGTCAACATTATCCTCACTATTGCTTTCCATTATAAAAATGGAACATGAACTTATGTAGGTAGTTACTTAAAATATTCCACCGACTAATATTAATATTTTAAATAATTTATAAAATAATTAAGAGTTCAATAGTTTTGGTAATACTAAGACCCAATTATATAAAGCGAAAAAAAGCGTTATTAAAATGCAAATTAATTTTCTTTGCAATTTTCTTTTTCAAAATGTTTCATACTTTTAAGTGACAGTCGCCGTCATTCAACTTCGAATAATTCACTGACCTCTATATAAAATACAAGCATGTATACGTGACATACATACATGAGTCAATATACTTGTCGCGCTTTTACTAATTTAATGTTCAAATAAGGCAAAAAAGACAAATCATGATGACAATCAAAGATGTTGCTTGTAATTCATGCGTGGAAATAGAAATGTCAAGTGGTCATCTTTGGTCTCTTTATACTATGCCAAATATGAGAGTAAATACAATAGTATCTTCTGATTTACTAGAAAAATAACATCCCTATTGTAGTAGTATTATATGTGACGTTACTTTACAAGACACGACGTCTTTAATCCATAGTGATTTCGTTCAGAATGTTAGCAACAATCGACATCGATATAATCGTTTTGTTTAGTTATTTATTTTTACTATTTTATTATTGAGACATATTATAATGTATATAATAATAAAAATAGGACTAAACTTATTATTATTCGAACGATGGACCCATAGACATCTACATCTATCCTCAATAAAGAATCAAAATGCAGATGCGTCGTCACCCGTGAGGACTAAGATGGAATGCCTCTTTTCCAGTAAAAAGGTCTCTGGTTCTCTACACTCACCATACGAAACACAGCAGTGTTAAGCTGCTATTTTACGCTGGTATTCTGTGAGAGCGTGGTCATTCCCCGGTCGAGCCGACCCATTCGTACTACAACTATACTACCAAAATAGCTGCAGCGTGGCTCTACCACGTATAAATACTAAGTTTTGACCGACACATGGTATATAAGCGAGTTGAACCCCATTTGTAATCCCAATTTTATTTGATTCCTAACGATCCGATTTTCTAGATCTCAACAACAGCGCTACTAACCGGGTCCAATTGTGAGTGTGATTGTTCATCAAAATCGGTCCAGCCGTTCACAAGTGTTGATCTCTCATAGAGGTGGCAATTAATTTTAATTTATGTTTAAGCCTTTTCTGCTTGAATGAAAATATTTCGAAATCATGAAGGCAGGATATTGATAATGCTGTATAGCGGCACTACCTTACCACTACCTCCTACTAAATAATATATATTATTACTTAGAGGGTCTAAGACCCAATGAGTATCATAAAAGGCGACAGAGGAAAATAAAACAGGAGATAGGCAAAAACATCTTCCTGCTAACAACTCAAAATAATATAAAACTGCGGTAGCTAAATCACTTGCTAAGAGAGGGAACTATGGCAAATATTCCCTTTACGTTCAGCTGTGGACTTGTGATAGGCTGTAATTAATGAATGAATGATGTATAATATTTTGAGGGAGCAGAGAAGAAAACGCGTATTCGTATTTGTAATCTAGAGATAAAAGAGAAGGCAGACCGCGGGCGTGCCACTGTTATTGTACTATTGTAGCAGTGCCCTCTGTGTACGTTCCGTGAAGCAAACCCGTAATAAAAATCTAAAGATAACTTGGCGGAAATATACTGTTCGTGGTATAAACACGCTGCAGCTATGATAGTAGTATAGTTGTAGCACGAATGGGTCGGCTTGACCGGGGAAGGACCACGCTCTCACAGAATACCAGCGTAAAATAGCAGTGTTTCGTATGGTGAGTGTGGATAACCCAAGACCCCTCTTACTGGAAATGAGGCATTCCATCTTAGTCCTCACGGGTGACAACGCATCTGCATTTTGATTCGTAGTTGAGGATAGATGCAGATGTCTATGGGCCACAGCAACTACTTAACATCACGTGGACTGTGTGCACGTTTGTCACAATTAATAAGTAATATCCTATATAAAAAAGATTTCATAGGACCTTTGCATGATATATTTTAAATTATACAACGATAGTACGAAATTCCGCATTATTCGACTACGTTTTTGTTGTAAGATGTCAAATAAAGCTTCCATAAACTTTCATTGATATAAATAAGCATGAAAAACCGGGCTAATAAAAATTCCTGATTTTACTACGTCATAGACTGAATTTATCGACAACGTTTTTAGTTTCGTTAATGTCACATCAATAGAGGTGTCTATGGAGTGGAAAGACGGCAATAACCTTGTAAAAGAAAGAAGGTGAGAATAATATAGCTATCTTATTTTGTACCATGTTAAACGTCATATGTATAATAAGTTCAGCTATAAGAATTTTGTTCTTATTTTAGGACTCTCTCTATACTAGTAATTACTCTGAGTCATTCGAGGTCATTAACGTTCTTATTCTTATTTGAATCGCATTGTAAATAATTGTATTTGAACACAAAACCTACGGTTCAGCAGTTTCTTTAAACATAAAGCCAGGTTATTATCAGAAGCTCTTAATACTTACCCAAATATTAGCGTTGACATTGATGTCCATCATTAAGCGAATCTCCTTCTCGGTCTGTTGCAAGAACGGTTTGCAAGGCATAATGCCAGCGTTGTTCACGAGGATATCCACGTCTCCGACATCCTTGCGTACCTTTTCGGCCAACGCCATTACTGCGGCTCGATCAGTAACGTCACATCTAAAAAAATGATTCAGAATTATCTTTTAAATTCTACATTATAAACCATATCTGGTACACGTCGGATCTTAAGGTACAATATGACTCCGAATAGACTTTTTAAGTCCAATATTGGGATATTGGGCTTTCCAAGAATGTACATACAGCCAACAATGCTGTTAATCACTAGTCTTTATAAAACCTGGTTCGTTACTTTCAAATGGATTATTCGCAATTAACCTGTCCCCAGCGCCTCATGCACTGCATGTGAGTGAGGTTTACATTTGGAGAAAATTCGACATATTTCCCCATACCCTACGTTCGTGGTGGAACCATGCCGCAGTTGTATATGGATGCGGCACGAACAGTTTGATTCCACTGGAAAAAGACCATACTTTCCAAACTTCTTAATGAGGCATTCCATTTTAGCACTCGTAAGTGGTAACCTTTCTATTATTTTATTTTAATCGAGGGTAGCTGTAGGCGTTTGTGGGCTACAGCATTCACTAATATCATGTGGACTGTGAGCTCGTTTGAGTACTCTTCCTTGTATAAAAATTACAACGAAACAAAACTGATATAGACGTGGCAATTACAATTATTAAAATTTTATTTATGTCTCTAATTAATGACTTGTTACATTTTAGTTAGGGGTTATCCATATGGTATCTTGGTCTATGGTACTTACACATATTTGAATGCATATCCCAATTCAGATGTAATCATGTTGTACGTTTCTTCATTGCTCTGCGGATTAATGTCAACACAGACTACTTTCGCACCGAGCCGTGCAAAACGCAACGCCATCTCCCTTCCCATGCCATGACCTGTGCCTGTGATCTGTAGACAACGTTTTATTATCATTATACAGTATATTGATATTTATTTATTCATAATGAGTGTTACCATAGACTTAGGATATACTGGCGTATAGACGACCTAACAGCCCGAAAACGCGTGACCAATTTTGATTTGTTATTGTGTGAGTTGGCTAGTGACGTACATTTTACTTAAAAGGGCTATCGAAAATTCTTTACCGGTATAAAGACTAAAAAAATAGTTTAGTTCACAGAACTGAATAACTTTTGTGCACTAAACTATTTTATTAAAAATTCACTAAAAATTTACCATGATAGTTTTAAAATAACTAAAAATATTCAAATAACATTTTACCGGGAATAAGCTGCACCCACCTGCCTTTTCCATCATCCATAATCCATTACAGCCTATAAAAATCCACTGCTCAACATGGGCCTCCCTATAGATTGCCTCATAGGGGGGATATTTACCATCGTTTGGCTAGCGGGTTGTCAACTACAGTTTTTTATTATTTCGAGTTGTTATCAGGAAGATGCTGCTGCCCATCGCCTCTTTCAGTTTCCCTTTGTCGCCTTTTATGGCACACGTGGGACGATATTGGGTAGTGGAAATTCTTTCACCGGCACCACTTGCCTTTTGTTGGTCTTTAATTCAAAATGTACAAAATTGCAATAATACCTGAAGAGGCGAGGTAAGTTTACCGATAAAATGAAACAATTTTCTCCAACAATTAGATCGGAAAGTTATATTTTTGACCTTTGGACAAAAATATTTAATGCCATTTACAATTTCCCCGGAATTTATTTCTTTTTCAACATAATGTTAATCAAATATAAATAGGTAGATACTTAACTAAGTTAATTAAGTAATTAGAAACCTATTTATATTTTATAAAATGTTTTGCTGGTAAAATAAAAAATGAGGACACGGAGTATATTATGGCTGCTTTATTTTTTATATAATTATTACCTTTAATATTTATAAAACAGAATCGGAAACAGAAACAAAAAACAAAATAATTTAATGTATACTAATATAATAAAGCGTCAGAGTTATTTTGTTTTTTTTTGTTTGTTTAAACACGCTAATCTCTGGAGCTACCAGTTCTAATTTAAAATGTTTGTATATAATAGCCAGATTCATGAGGAATAGTATAGGCTATCTAGCATATAACTATCAGCTAACCTTATATATTGATTTTTGTTAAGTCGGAAGAAAAGGCGCTCTCTAACTGCTTTATCCACGTGCGCTAGCGTAACATTTAGTATTACATAAATACGATGTTCTACAAAAATATTGGTCTTTGCTCCATCTAAAAAAAGTCTGCGATACCATATGCCTGTGGCGGCGCTGTCGTCGCGCCACAAGCGAAACATATCGAAGCCTAAATCGCACTAACAAAGTTCCGAAGTTAAAGCAGCATAATATATAGAATAGCTCCGAACTACCAATCGGAGCGTTGGCCGCTCCCCGGGCAGAACACATTGCCCGGCGGGAAATCTCCCCTTTTCCTTCCACCCGCCACACGCCTATTTCTTATACATAAGCTACAATAAGATATTTTGTGAAAAAAATTATTGAAAATGAAAAAGTGAATTATGAGCGTAATTATTAGGCATGGCATATTAACCCTTACGATCGAAAGTTACTTCATCATCAAGACAATTTTATGAAGATAAACTTTGCTCTTTATAGCATGTTATTTGGGCGCATAGGTTAAGAGATAATGAAAAATTAAAATAATAAACACTCTGCTCGGAGCGCGAACGACCGCATAAACCCTAGCCGCCCGATGAGATTCGATAGAAAGCAGCAGTGATCGCCTATATTGGTCCGAGAACTCATGACGCATTTTTTAAGAAGTGTTTGATGCATCATGAAACTTTGTCCATAATGCTTCTGGCCTACCCATTCAGTGTATTCACGTATACTCATTTCATCCAAAGTGAGACATAGTTTTAGATCAGGCTTCTTTTTTCTCATTTCTCTAATGGTGTTTAAAGATTCTTGAGTGAAACCAGGTTCACAGTCTAGTCTGGCATACCAGGTACGCAATGTGTTATTTCATTTAATTTTTTCATTTTTTTTAAAAACGTTAACCGCACACTAGGATTTTTTCCTGTTTCGTGGAGGCAGTTTACAAACATAAATTCACGAGGACAAACATCCAGACCCGGAACAATTATTTGTAGGCCATACAAATACTTGTTCCGTGCGTGATTCGAACCCGCGGCTCCCAGCGCAACAATTCACATTCATTGCTAAGCCACTGCGCCACGGAGCCGTCAACGTAACGTGTGGAAGACACAAATCAAATTTTTCACGTAAATAATTATATGCTCTTGGACTATAGAAATGTATTGTGACAGCAAATTTTCGTAATTCTTCGTTATATTTGGATGCAGACACTATTTTACCACATTTTTTATCATTAACCCTGTTAATTAAATTCTGTATCAATTCAGTGATATCGCTATAGTGATCATTCAATCCTGGTCTTGAATGAATTTATTCAAGCACGTTTTGCAATGTTACAATTTTTTTAGCCTGTCTTTTAGTTTTTGCTGCTAAGCTACGTAATTTCTTTTGTTTTTCTTTCAGCTTTTGTTTTAATTTCTCGATTAAAGTTGACAAAAAATTACTTTGCATACATCCGCTCGATAAAATAAAATGATGTGTCTTACCTAGTTTGAAGAGTACCTCCTGCCCTCCCTCAATTGCGTGCACTATCCCCGTCACTACTAACCCCAGCACCACTACTCCCAACACCACTACACTAGAAAAGACACACTACTGACGACAATACGACACGTGTTTCACCTCTACACGAGGCATCCTCAGGTGACATAGACTCTACGGTGGCTCGCCTCCGATTTGTTACGCAAAGGCGTAGAGGCTGCTCTTCCCGCAGCGTCGGAGACGTTGCAGTCTCCCCCCCCCCCTAAAAAAAGAAACCCCTTTTAATCAGTCCCCCTATTTTATGTCTGATGAAGGGGATTTTGTTCTCATAAAATGGATTTATATTTCCATTATAAATGCAAACATGAAAAAAAATCAAAATTTTAGAAATCGATTTTTTTGTGAATCGATACATCGGCTTACGGTTCGAATCGATTTATAAAATCGATCGACATCCCTACTGACGATGGCAATGAAAATACAAAATAGCGTCAGTTTTACCGTAGGAATTGACATAAATTTGCAAAAATAATTGATTTTCAATATTTTTTTTCTCAAAAAGTACGCGAAGTACGCTTTTAGTGAGTACTATCTACAAAAAAATGTGGGCATTTAAATCGAAGGTCCATATTGGAAAGTTTAACCAACCATTTTGGAAAACTATAAATTATACAAATTAACACTATTATAATCTAAAAACACACAAAATATCTACAAGCGTATTTCTTGCGCTCCGAGTTGCTTGATTTGGTATCCTTTTTTATCTTGCATTTTTGCCATAAGGAATTTCCTTGTCCCTTGCACACTATGTTGGTCTATACGTATATCCTAAGTCTAGTATCAAGTATATATTTAAGTTATAGAAATATATGAATAACATACTTATAATCGAAGGATATTCAATGGGTGGAAAAATACAATAAATCGAAACGGCGGTAGGGTTTGGAGGTTATTTTTTTATTTAAGGATATCCCCAATAGAATTAAAGCAACCGAAGTAGTTAAAATGACAATGTGCCGGGTTAAGAAACTAAAAATAGACGGGAGAAGAAAGATTTTGGAGTGGTAGCCTCGTTTCGTCAAGCGCAGATTACGGCGACTCCTTTCTAGATATAGTGATAGACCGTAATGAAGACGACAAGCATGATAATGATAATACATTAGAGATAGGAGGATATGTGAAAAACATTTCAAATGCAACTAATAACAAAAATAACCTCACTTAGGTAATTATTTTTGAAGTGAAAAAGGATTGCTGTGTGTAGGTTATAAAAATAAGAGAACCAGTAGAATCATGGACCGTAAGCTTTTTTATCTTATTGATTTTTTATCTGGCAGGGAGGTGACGACAGCACGCCGGTATATTACTAAACAAACATCAAATAGAATGAATAACGCGATAATAGGGCTGTTACGGCCTACGGCTGCTCCCTTAAAGGATCCAATCCTCTGGGGCCCATGAGCAGAAGACTTCCCGAGCAAACGTAGGTCGGGCCTCAATGTGGCCACGTGGAATCCCTCGAATTACACTAAAATATATGGGGAAGCGTTCTATACTACGGCCAGTCGACCGGCAGAGGAATTAGGCGGAGTTTACTTACCTATATCCAAGGCGACTTGTCCCTCCGGAGTCGGTCAGGTCACATGTGGTTGTGTAGTGAAAGGGAAATAAGTGATGTGATGTGTATCTGGGTGTGACTGATGGTGATTGAACCTAGACCTTGGCCGTCGGCAGCAGCCCGAGCGTCGACACCGCTCTAACTTGAGGGGGCTTCCGAGGTTGTCCACAGTCACTTTCCTCGTTCTTCACGATGACAGTCAATTAACTCTATCGTACGATTTACTAACTTACAGAAGCCACTAACTATCGCGGGTTATAAGGTTAACGCACAAACGCACACGGAGTTTACAGTTTATTAAAGGTCACTACCGTTTCGCGTTGCAACAGTTAGTTCTAGAATACAGAGGCCGCACTAGCTAATATTGTCGAATGCACTTATACAGATTCTGAGTCGGACCCAATAAGTCCCGGGGAAGCTCTCCAGTAGGGATACGCGCCACAAAATTCCTAGACCGTATTTTTACTGTCCGCGCTTAATTATTCCGAGTTCCCGCGCTTAATTGGCAGCGTGCCAATCGTGAGCACTGCCTAAGGACGACTGACTGCCCTTGGGCGTTTTTCGCACGACCGAAAGTCAAACCGGTATCGCGCCGAGCCGAGTGACATCTGGCGTCGATTCTTGACAGCGTTGAGCGCGAACAAGGGTATCGCGGACATTGCGTTGTTTTATGCGTCGGCTACTGTAGGTGACACTTGTGCTTGTATGCGTGCATGAAACTTCTATGAAGCTTCTTGACCCATGTTCTTGACTCTCGTTCACGCTGCGTTAAATGTCAAAACGAAGCTGTAAGCTAACTACGATTCCCACCAGTCTTTGAAGCATTTACTTATTAAACTTGTGAATTATCATTATATGATTATGATTATACTTTTTATATTTTTTTTCCTATTTCAGCCTATAAAAATACGCTGCGGGACCCCATGGATTGATTCATACGGGATATTTTGTCATATTTGGCATGCTTGGCAGGCGGATTCACAACCGCCGTTTTTATTATTTTGAATTATTATTATTAGAAAGATGTTGGCGCCCATCTTCGGCTTCAGTTTCTATTTGTCGCCTCTTACGACACCCTCGGGACGATGTCGGATAATGTGTATTCTTACACCGCCATTACACGATTCACGATTATATAATATGAATGCCTTCAACGAAATGCCTACCCAATAGAGAAACCTAAAATTTAAAAAAATATGTTTGTTTGTTTGTGTTTTATGCGCTGCCATATCGTTCATCCGGTTGGGGTAAATTTTTTCCACTTATTGTAGGCATATTGTAGGCAGACAAATTAATTTGAAAGTTATATGTCATTCGATTTCAATGAATCATTCCCAATTAAAGAATATAACTCTTCTAGAAAATAATAAAATAGAATGATTTTTATTCAATTTTTATTCAATTATTACATAATATTTATTGAAAGTATTTTTATTTATTTATCACAGGTTCGGAAAATACCTCTGTCCTGGGAAGAACCAGCAAGAAACTCAGCGGGACTCTTTAAAACGTATTTCACTTTACAATAATTTTATACAATTTTTAATTGAATTTTAATAGAACAATCATTCCCAGGAGTTATTTTCATTTATGTATTCTTTGATAATAATACATATTTATTAATAATTTTAATAATATATTAATTATTATAAAATAACCCTTTTTGTTCAATTTTTCTTTGAACATTTAAACTTGTTTATTGACAAATTTTGTACATTTTCTGGGATTTTGTTGTAAAAGCGTATACATTGCCCCTTAAATGAATTACTAATTCTTTGGAGTCTAATAACTGATATTACAAGCTTATTTTTGTTCCTAGTGTCATCCTTATTATTATTAAAGCTATTTATGTTTTTTATGTACATACATTACATTTACATAAATATATTGCGATGCCAAAGTTAAGATGTTTATTTCTTTAAATTTTCTGTTGTTTTGACTTCGGCATTGTTATACGGACTGATAACTACCACTTGTAACGATTATTCTGTGCTTTTGATTTCTGGACACCGATTTTGCATCTTGCATATTTGTGAGAGACATCATACAGACTACAGCTACAACTAGCCCTGCGATTGCTATGTGTTCATTGTAACATATGCATTGATACACTTCGCCGCTATCTCGTTTTTGAGCTTGATACCAGAGTAATTTCTAAGATCCGCGAGTGGAATTCTTCAATAACAGTACATATTTACATGCCTACTTATTTTATTACACTAACATAAGACATCACACACAATCGTACATCATAATACACATCTAATTCTTATTTTATATCACTGAAGAAGATTACATATTATGTGATGCTAACCTCAAAAGTATTGTTGACGTTATCATAAAAAATTGTGACTATTTAGATATAATTTTCATACGGGATGGTGTTTACAACATAAAAACAAACCAATCTAGCTATAGCTTGTTTTGGGACATGAAAAATAAAAGTCAAGTCCAGCTCCTATGGAAATTTGGCCATTGTTCTTTAAAATTTTATTTCCACAATTATTTCTTCTGCGGCAGCAACACACCGGCTACCGGCTAGTCTATGCTTGTTTATGAAAAATACGTGTAAATTTATTTTTTTATTACGTATAAAAACGAGCATGCGGCTCACCTGATGGTAAGTGACTACCACCGCCCATGAAAAACTGCAACACCAGGGGAACCAGGGGAATTGCAGATGCGTTGCCGGCCTTTTAAAAAGGAGTAGGCTCTTTTCTTGAAGGTCCCTAAGTCGTATCGGTCTGGAAAATTCGCTGATGGTAATCGATTCCACAAGGAAGTTGTGCGAGGAAGAAAACATCTTCTAAATCGCACAGTGGTGGACCGCTAATCATCCAGATGTTGCGGAATGTATCGCGAGTACTGCCGCGATGTGCGTTCGTGAAATTTGGCGACTGGGATTAATCCGAACAATTCCTCAGAGCACTCCCCGTGGTACATGCGATAAAATACGCAAAGAGATGCAACATCTCTACACAGTGCTAGTGTATCGAGCCGATCAGAAAGAACTCGGTGGTCGACGATTTGAACCGCTCTGCGCTGGAAGTGGTCCAGTGGATGGAGCTGGCACTGGGGTGCCCCGGCCCAGAGATGAGAACAGTATTCCATGTGAGGCCGGATTGGCTCTTTGTAAAATTGCAAGCGATGTGCCGACATGAAATACCGTCTCACTCTGCTGAACACGCCAAGCTTTTTAGAGGCCAATTTGGCCTTCCCTTCCAAGTGACCACGAAACTACACGTCACTCGATATTTCGACGCCGAGGATTCCGATACTGGCTGAGGCAACAAGGGGAGCGCCTTGAAACTGAGGAGATACGACAAAGAGGTTCTTTTTAGCGGTAAACGCGCAAACTTGTGTCTTCTGAGGATTAAACTGGACTAGATTTATTCGCCCCCAATCCGAGACTTTGTTCAGCAAAGACTCGACTTCAGACACAAATTTGTTCCTGTACTCGGCGACGTTTTCCCGAGAAATATTGGCACGGCTGGTGTATAGAGCATCACCAGTGCTGTCATCCGCATAGCAATGAATGTTACCAGTTTGCAACATATCATTGATATGCAGAAGAAATAGCGTTGGTGATAGCACACAGCCTTGTGGAACACCAGCGTTAATAGGCTTGTGGTCGGAGCATGCATCGTCTACGACCTTGATGCTCTGATCTACGAGGAAGCTGGTGATCCGATTGCACAATTTCTCGGAAAGCCCATAGGAAGGGAGCTTCGAAAGAAGCACTTTGTGCCAAACCCGATCGAAGGCCTTCGCAATGTCCAAACTAACGGCCAATGCCTTCCCCTTGGAATTCTGTGAGTTCGTGTTACCAACCCGGCTCGAGCCGGCCCATACGTGCAACAGCAAAAACTGCCGCGTGGTTCTACCACCGTTAAAATTAGTACAACTTAAATTAGTAGTATTAGTAGAGAACGAAAAAAAAGTTAGTTTGCAGCTCACACACGACAGAAAATAAACTTTCAGAAGAGGAGACTGAGATAATAGGACACTCATTCTCTCGCAGGCTAAATGCTATAGATGTATATGTTTGTCTCTTTTCGTTTCCAGTTTCAAATCACAACGATTCTAAAGAAGTTCAACAATTAAAAATATAAAATAAGTGGTCCTTGATGATCATCTAAGAGACCAACAATTTAGTTTGAAGGGAATCGTGTAGCCCAGCAAACTGATTTATCGACCAATAAATAATCGTTATAATATGCGCACTAGTATACATCTCAATACTGATTAAGAAACCGACTAAACTCTCGCCCGATAGAAAGTCTGCAGTGTGCGGTGTCTCTTAAACTTAAATAATGCCATATTAAGAGCTAAGCCAAGCGAAGCCGGGGCGGGTCACTAGGCCTTATATAAAGTTAATTTACTATCTAATATATACTTATTAAGTAGATTTTTATAGCCAATTGTCAACAGTGGACACAGTGAACGCAAATAAAATATTTACTTTCATCGAGTTGACCGATTAAACTCATTTGAGGTGCATCAATATTATTATCGATACTTGATGAACTCAGAACCACATTGATGATGCAATGCAAATTCGATGCAACGCAAAATCCCTCGTCTATCTTAAAATGTTTAAGTATAAAAAAATATATACTTACTAGCTGAAACCCGCCCGCTTCGCGATAATATTTTATGAATGGGTCAGTTAGTTATAAATCTATAGTTATAATAAAGTCAAAAAATTTAATTATAAATCTTTCGTATCATAAAGGGCTCCGGATAGCATTTGAGTGTAGCATCTAAACCGATCCAAGTTGTTATATACACGTAGGAAACAATAATAATTCTCATCTTATATGCTATCGATACATCATCGTACATCAGCAAAGGGAGAGAAGAAAATAAACATGCTCCGTCACCAAGAATTTAAAAAAATTTCAAAGTAGTAGGCATTTGATCTATTAAGAAATATTCAACATCCATTATTAAAAAAAATACAATTAACTATGTTAGTAGTAGCATTAAATAGTACCATAGCAACGGTTACCATTAAAACGGTTACCGTAACATAAGTTACCATTTTATCAAAAATTTTTTTGGTGTGACTATCGTAAAATCCGTTCTTAGTAAGCGTCTACATTGCGCAATTAGTAACTATACTAAATTTCACGTCAATCGGGTGTATAGTTTTAGAGATCTCGATGAGTCCGTCAGTCTGTCAGTGATATTTCGCTTATATAATATAGAGAGAGATTTAGAACAATCGGTACTCACAGCGTCGTTTTCATTACAGTATTGACTCCCTCAATTCTGTAGGTGTGACTCATTATAGTTACAGACTAATGGTAGTACGATATCCTCGTATTAGTCAGTACAAAACTATTCATAATTCAACGAGTTTATTAAGGTTAGGCAAGTCGGTTACGCAGTAAGATCAGATGTAGACTAGACAACAACCAGTTCCAAAAAGTTAATGCCAAAAAAAAACAGAATTCGATGTCGACAAAATACGGCGTACAGGAATAACTTAATGAATAAATAAAATGAATAAATAAAAAGTTTAGGAGTATTGAAGTAAAGTGCACTCACCAGCACGACTTCTCCACGGACGTCCTTACGTTTATTTGGTATAAACCACTTGAAGATGCTACGTAGGATTTCATAATTAACCAGAAGTATGGTCCAGAGCAGGTCGCGTATCACATGTAGGGGCGAGTTGTCGTGCGTCCTGAAAAAGTTTTATTCTAGAATTTTCTATACAATTTTTATGATTATTATAATGATTATTTATCTTATACAGGTATTATTGTTAGTTTTTACCGCGGCTTTGCTCATATGGAGATCGTTCTTCTAAAATCATTGGTGTTCCACGCCAACATTCGCAAAAAAAGTACTCCGACTTTTGATATGTACCTTTTTTCCTAATATCTCTCTTTCTACTACTTACTTTTCAAGTGTCTTTCAAGATTTATATTTTTTATAAAATAAGACTGTCAGACGAGCAAGCAGTCCACCTGATGGTAAGTGGATGCTGTGGCCTATACTTACCTTTATTCTCGTTTTAGAGTCAACATGTATAGATGCGTTGACCTCCCTTAAACTAACAAAGAATGTCACCTTGCTAGTGAAAAGGGTCTCGACTTCTGTGCACTTTCTACGAAGAAACTGCGTTTAAGGTGATATTTTACGTTGGTATTCTGTGAGAGCGCGTTCCTTGCCCGTTGGAGTCCATTCGTGACCCATTCGGAGACCCATTCGATAGCTGCAGCCATTACATAGCTGCAGCGTAGCTCTACCACATAAAATAAAATTGAGTAAGATTGTAACTTACTATTTCAAGGGTCCTGGGGAAAATCAAACGCTTTGCACATATTACGGTTTGAAATGTAAAGGCAAGCTCTAATCTCCAGTGCTACACGGCTCTTATTAACTATTTTGTAATATTTATATTCATGTGGTAGAGCCACAATACAGCTGCAGCGTGGCTCTACCATGTACGTATAAATATTACTTATTTTACACATATAAGAAAAGAATAGATTCGTGCTCCTCTAACTTTGAGAGGGTTTTTAAGAAAAGGTAACGTCCAGCGCGCTGTCGCTTGCGTGTTGGCGAACGTCACATATCTTTCAAATATATTTTTTATTATTTCTCAGACATTCTAGTTTCCTCACAATGTTTTCCTTCACCGCCGAACACGTCGTAAAATCGACAATTTTATTGATGCATTGGGGTGCGAACCCGGTTTACTGGCGTACAATGATATGTACGAGACTCGAGAGCGTTTCTTTTCCCCATCAGCGTAAAATAGCAGCTTAATGCTACAGTGTTTCGTATGGTGAGTGTAGAGAACCGGAGTATCAGGTTTGCGGACGGACCCTAATTAACTAAGTTCTGAAATTATTCACTAACAGTTTAAAAACCTTAAAAACTTGTTTTTCTAAATATATGCTGGAGAAGTAAGGGATAAGTAATACACAAGTAACGTTAATTATAGGTACACAAAGTCAATAAAAATGAAATGAAAACTTATTTTTAGAATTCGAAATTAAAAATATTGTTTGTCAAACGTCAACATGTTTTTTTAATCTACTACCGTTTTAAAATGAAGTTCTTCCGTCCGGGGAAGAAACGGCGAAAGAAACCCTAGCCCTCAAACCAAGATATTTCATAAAATTACAAATAAATATGAAAAATCACGACTAATAAATGTGATGTAAACCCGAACAGACCAGAGTTATGACTGAACTGTTGTAAAATTTTTAATGTTCACATAAAATTTTCAACGCATATTATAAAAGTGGTTGTTCAGTTACAGATCGAAATTAACTAAGTATTAATTTGATATGTGTTTAAGTGGTGAAATCCCCATAAATACACAAATTTATGGACGTGGACCTCATTCACCAATTACGTATCACAAAACAAAAGTAACTTACATCTTTTAATGTACTCACTCACTTACACCGCAATCGACTGAGCTCTGGATTCTCTAGACGCTTAAACACATTTATTATTACACAAATGATAAGGTGTGATAATAGACTTTGATAGTGAGGTCGGACTATGAACTTCTTTCGATATTCATTAAAACTGATAAGAAACTTAAAAGCATGTCTTAACCTAAAATTTGTCAATGTGTTGTACCTTTCTACATGTATAAGTGCGAAACGAAATGTTAATGTACATTATGTAATATCTTCATATAAATATATAATTATATAATTTTGCAGTGAGGTAGCGATGTGAGAGAATTAACCACCACATATTACTATTACTGGGGACGACACGGGAAAACTAAACTAGGAAGTGGACATTCCTGATAACATTAATTACATCCTTTCACTAGTCCACTGCTAAACATAGGCCTCCCCTATAAATTGCCTCAAGTCAAGGTCGCTCAGCGAGCTATGGTGAGGGCTATGCTCGGGGTTTCTTGCGTGATAAACTTAGAAATTAGGATATCCGCAGTAGAACCAGACTGACCGACATAGCCCATCGGATTAGTAAGCTGAAGGGGCAATGGGTTGGCCATATAGCTCGAAGAACCGATTATTACACATATTTACATACCTACTTATTTAATTACACTAACATAAGCCATCACACACAATCGTACATCATAATACACATCTAATTCTTATTTTATATCACTGAAGAAGATTGGATGGGCCGGCCATATAGCTCGAAGAACCGACAACCGATGGGGAAGAAAGGTTCTCGAGTGGCAGCCTCGTACCGGCAGGCGAAGTGTAGGGCGACACCCCAATAGATGGAGTGACGACCTGGTAAAACATGCAGGAAGTCGATGGATGCAGTTGGCTCAGGACCGTGCTTTGTGGCATTCCTTGGGGGAGGCCTATATTCATCAGTGGACTTGTGAAGGACCGTAATGATGATGATGATGATGATAAATTGCCTTTGCCATAGTAGCCACACTTGGCAGGCGGGTTGGTAACCACAGTTTTTTTTATTATTACATTCGTATCAGGAATATTCAGTTGCCGAAACGCTTTTCATCTGGTAACACCTATGCCTACACGCCTTTCGAGATCCAGAACGGGTTATCTCGCAAAAAAAAAACGCCACGGTGATGCACCGCCGTATACAAGAAGGACCGCGGCGACGATCTTGCACGAATCTGTAGCCCCACTAGTGTCTTGAAATTAAATTGGAATATGAATTTTGAATTATATCTTTGCTACGTGTTCAAGGAAAAAATTCGGTTAAGAACCCGCTTGCAAAGTGATTTTAGTTGTGACATGGCATTCTTTCTTAAATCTAATGCATCTACGTGCATTGTGAATCCAGGTCATCTTCATGTGACTACGGGCCACAGCATTCACTTACCACTAGGTGGATTTTACGCTTGTTTGCATAACACCCTTTTTTATAACAAGTCACAAATTATTTTTATTAGTTTTTACTGTTAACTAGTGGCCTAGCAAGGGCGCGTCTGGGCGACGCATGGCCCATGGCGGCATTTTTTTAAATATCTGTATTTTGAGAATGAAAGTCAACCACCTTAATTTTTTAAATGATGGAAATAAAGAAAACCCAGATTATACGGGTTTGCACGATTACCGCTAAAAAAAGCTGTCTGTCGTATTTTCTCAATTTCAGCGCACTCCCCTTGTGGACATATCAAGTGACTTGACTGAAAAATGACTTGTAAGAAAAAGCCAAATTTGCCTCTAAAAAACTTGACGTGCTCAGTAGAGCGCCAGCGCCAGACTCTACGCCAACATACTACTTGCAACTGAATAAGGCACAAGTTCAACCACACAGAATAATATTCTCATCTCTGACGAATTGCCTGAAAGAATGGTTGACAACTGAGATCTTTCTACTCGGCTTAACTCACTGGCCCTATACATATTCCATTGCATCCACCACGGGGAGAGCTAAGAAGAATTGTTCGAAATAATTCCCGCTTCTAAATTTCACCATCAAATTCTAGCGATATCATCTATACCACCTGGATGATTGGCGGTCCACCACTATGCAATTTACCAGAAGTTTTCTTCCTCGCACAACTTCGTTGAGGAATCAGCTATCACAAGCGATTTTTCGGACCAGTACGACTTAGAGACCTTCAAGAAAAGAGCCTACAATTTTTTAAGGCCGGCAACGCACCTGCGATTTCCCTGGTGTTGCAGTTATTCATGGTCGGCGGTAGTCGCTTACTAAGGAGCCACATGCTTGTTTGCTCCCTCTTCTGTAAAAATATAATTAATATAAGTACCATGACTTTGGAAGACTTACCAATTTTTTTTAGATAATAAGACTTCAAAAATGAGGGGGCGTGAAGGCGATATAGAGTTCCTATTTGGTTCTAAACTTATTCAATAAACAACAGCCTAATATTAATAACATTGACCTCAATACATTTTTATTTCAGCGCCTGGTCTTTCATGTATGCAATTATAAACTTAAAATATTGCTATACATTTATGCAAAGTCAAATCGGTGGTACAGGGAATCAGACAATCGTGATTAAAACATACTGGTTATATATACACTTTGATCATACATCATATATACATTGATTATATATCTACCCAAAAATGTGCTGCTACTTTCATGAAGCAAATCGTCATCAAAACCTATGAAGAAAATCTAATGTAAGTGGGTCCATAAAGAAAATCCCAATCGTGGTTATAATGGTAGATAGGTCTTAGTAGTAGGGTGATGAGTCGCTCGCGTCTGTAGGCTTCGACCACCTAATCCTAGGCCCACCCTACACGTGTCCCCCGGGTGGTGCTAAACAAGCGACAAAGCCGAAAGAACAGACTCGGCTCCTCGCCGTGTGGTAGCGGCGTAATAAATACCACACCATACTTTCGCACCATGAAGCAAGAAATTTACGAAATAGCCCCGAGTTCCCGGCGCCCCTTTAATGGGGCAGGGGTGCGAAGAATCTCCGGGAGGAAAACCGGCGACGAGGTTCGCCACCCGTCACGTTCTGTCCCCCGGAGGGGCGAAAAGTGGATTGCGGAAGCCCGTCTGGCTAAATTGAATGTATGTGGAGGAATGAATAATAAGATGGATGAAGTATGCGATATGATGTATGATAGAGGAATAGACGTGTTATGTGTAAATGAGACGAAATGGAAGGGAAAGGATGCCACTACACATGGCATGTATACCGCGTACTGGTCTGGTGTAGACGAGACCGAGCGGGCATGACAGGGAGTCGGTATCATCCTTTCAGAAAGAATGGGTCATTGTGTGAAAGAGTATGAATGTGTAAGTCCGAGACTGCTATGGATACGAATGAAAGTGGGCTTAAAGAAGTTGTTTGTTTTAGGGGTCTACGCCCCAGACATGTCTAAGCCCACTTATATCCGAGAGCAGTTTTGGGAGTTGGTAAGGATGGTGCTAATGAAATGCAAGGTTAATGAAAATATTGTGATATTAGGCGATTTTAATGGAAGGGTTGGGGTGAGGAGGCTTGGTTATGAAAGGATATTGGGAACGTTTGGTGATGAAAGTATAAATGAGAATGGTGAAAGCCTTCTCGCCGTATGCGTGGAAAAGAATCTTGTTGTGACGAACACTTTCTTTCGTCATAAGAAGATTCACACGTATAATTGGGAAAGAGGTGATGATAGAAGTATGATAGATTTCATAATTGTTGATGAAAGAATGAGGAGCGCGGTGGTACATACAAGGGTTTACCGGGGCTCTAACGTAGGGACGGATCATTACTTGGTCTTATGCCGAATTAATGGTCTTTTCAGACGTCGGAGGCATCGGACATCTGTGTCTACCACTGCGTTACAGCGTATAAGAACAGAGAGGTTACAAGATGAAGGTGTGAAAGAGAAGTTCAAATGTAGATTGAGAGAAAATATAAGTGCTATGGCTGAATTGTGTATGAATGATTTAGACTTGGAGACTGTGTGGTATAATGTCAAGAAAGGTTTAGTGGATGCAGCTACCGAAATATGTGGTGTAAGTAAGAGAACGAATGAAAGGAAAAATAACACGTTATGGTGGGATGATGAGGTACGGATGGAAGTTGAAGCAAAGAAGAAAGCATGGCTAGATTTACTGGCAACCAAGGCTAGTAATTCTAGCAGTATGAATGATGATATTGAAAGGAAAAAGGCAGTTTTTAGACACCTAAATAAGAGAGTAAAAGAAGTAGTTGAAAGGAAAAAGCAAGAAGTAACGGATAAGAATGATAGAAGAATATCGGATAACTTCCAGGCAAACATTAAAATGTTCTGGAAACTCGTAAGAACTACCAGGGGACATTCAAAACAGCCTAGAATGAATGCTATACGAGACCAGAATGGCTGTATTCTGAATGACGAAGTTTTGAGTTTAAGGAGATGGAAGGAATACTTTGAACGCGTGTTTATGAGTGATGAGACGTTTGAATTAATAATCCGATGAAGAAATTCCGAAAGAAGAGGAAATAGATAGAGATATAAGTATAGATGAAATAATGAAAGCAATGAAAAGTATGAAAGCAGGTAAGGCAGCCGGTTATGATAGAGTATCTCTCGAAATGCTAAGGGCTGGGGAAGGAGTGGTGGCAGACCTGCTGTACACCTTATTTAATTTATGTTGGGAACTTAAGCGGGTACCGGAAGACTGGTGCAAAGCCGTGATAGTCCCAATATGTAAGGGAAAAGGATCACAGCAGGACTGTAAAAACTACCGTGGTATCAGCCTTCTTAGCATTGTGGGAAAACTGTATGCTGAGGTACTAATTGAAAGAGTTATGAAAGAAACTGATGGAAAATTTTGGGATGTGCAAGCGGGATTTAGAAAGGGAATGGGATGTACGGATCAGGTCTTTTCCATGCGCATGATCGCGGAGAAGTTTTTGGCCAAAAACCAAAAAGTTTTTTGTGCGTTCATAGACTTGGAGAAGGCTTATGACAGAGTGGACAGGGATGTGTTATGGCAAACACTGAACTCATTTGGGTTGACCGCTGGTCTGATACAGGCATTGAAGTCTCTGTA